CTGTATAACTTGTGTGTCTCATGTTCCTGAAATTTAGTGGAACTAATCAGGGCTGTTGATGAAATTTATTTTTCATAATATATTGCCTTAAGATTTTGAAACATTCAGGAGAATACTCTGAAAATTCATGTGAACCTGTGTATTACTTTCGTTAAAAAAGTGCAGAGCTAATTTCATGGGTTTTGTAGGTACTGTATAGCTGTCAAACAACAGAGCGAGCTGCTTTCCCTAGAGTGCAAAGGGCACTTAGTGGAAATGACAATATATGTTTTGTTCCTAATGCTTACATGAAGCTGTGAAACTACCTGATATATGTCAGAATAAAAATTGTAGTTCCTTTATGATTTGAATCTTGGGATGTGGTACAGCGTTTGTTGTCCTTGTGTAGAAAGTTAAGATTATTTTAATATCTGTTCCAGCTGGAGTTATGGATCCTGATTTTTTGATTAATTTTCCCAAATTTAATTGAATTTAAATCACCTCTGCTGCTTTCCAGATTAAATTAAGAAATGTTAAATTCCTTTTATTAAAAGAAAAATAAATAAATCCCAAAATAAAGCAAAAGTAGATTCTGCAAGAAGCAACATGGGCAGGGTACTCTTTCCTTTGAAATAACAGTCTCATCCTTTGAAAAAGACTTTCCAGAGGAATGGTGAAGACTACTGTAAGACTTATCAATAAAATATGAATTTATTTTATTTTCCATTTTTTTTATTTGTGCAAGGTTATTTTAAGTAGTGGTGGTAAAGATTTCTAAATTCTTTCTCTTGGCTGAAGTATGGTTGAAGAATTCAACTGCATTGTTCTTGCAGTTCTAGTTGCAGACTTCTTCCAGTGCTATACTGATAGACCTTAACTGCTGTACTTCAGCAGTATACCAAAAAAAGCCAATTAAAATAACCAACAGCAGTTATTTCCAAAATACCCAAAATGTTCAGATTATGAACCTGCATTACATCCAACAAAACAAACAAAAAAGGAATTATTTTTAAGGTAGATAGCTATTTGCAATTAAGGATGAGCACATATAGAGATGCTGAAGACTTGGTACAATAGTGTTACATTTGTAGTGGTTCTTTTCTATCCCGAAGTTTTACTTGCTTTTCTCTCAACTGACTAGTAATACTTCAGCTACGGAACCAGTCATTTCATTGATTATTTCTTTTATGTGCCCTCTGTTAGGTAACTTACTGTTGAAGAATACAGACATACTATCAAATATCACTGCTAAGAAAGTTTGTGTGCATGAACATATGTATGTCTTTTGAGTGTTCACTGGTTCACATTTTAAGCTTTATCACTGTTATTAATCATTTGTATTGCACCAATGATGTTCAAAATGCAATCTTTGTGCTATATAGTTCCTATTCTTATTTTTATTAGTATTTTTACAATCATTCATTATAAGTTTTCTATTTCATTAAAGAAATGCTACTTCATTTTCTTTTTTTTTTTTTTTGTTGATGTACAAAACGCTATGTATATATCAAGAACAGTGAGCTGGGATTCAAACACTCCCGTAGCCAGACCTTGAATGGACATTCAAAATTAGTTTTTATCTCACAAAATACTATTGGTAGTTGAAGGTGATAGTAGGCAAACTATTATGTGTTTTAATTATTTTCAACCACTGCTTAGGAAAAGAAGAGAAAAATAAAATCTCTGAGGTTTATACTCTCTGAGAGTATAAACCTTTAAAGGTGAATTCCTAGAGGGGAAGTGAAAGGGGGTGAAAAAACAGTGAAGGGTACCACAAAAACAAAGATGTCTTTTAGTCTTGTAGTATCTCTGAAGCAGAAATAAACAAAAAAATAATTCGTTTGGGCCTCACTTTGTTTTCTTAAAACCATCTTATATAAAAGCTTGAAAGTTGAGGACAGCTCACGTTGCCTTCATATCGTCTGAAATTACTCTTGAAGTATTTTTAGTTGCCAGTAAAAGGAGCAGTGGCAAGCTCCTTATGTGTTTTTTAAAATTGTTATGTAGTCATTAAAATTTCAGGGAGTTGAAGGCTGCTTGGGATGCATGCAGCATGGCAGGCTACCTATCCCTTTGGTTGGTGAAGAAATTCAGGAGAAGCCAGATCCTCCCCTTGCTGACGTCAGAGATAGCAAAATGGCCAGAGACTCGAGTGCAAATCTCATTTACAGTGAAGATGACCTATTATTCTGGGGTGACCACTGTTATTTTAAATGGGGAGAATTAGTTTTGTGACTCATAAAGGTTTCAGGCTTTTCCTTTATGTAAAAATGGTCAGAACGTTACATTGAAAACCACTCCTACAGCAAGGTTCATAAATAATAAATATTACCTCTTATTAATCCATATTTTAGCTTAAGTCTGGCTCATGGCAAGTTGCTTCCTCAGGGAATACGAGATTCTTTGCAAGAGAAGGTGATGAGCCATAGTCCCCAAGGAATTAAATTGTGAAAACAATCTCAGTTTTGTACATACTAATATAGATCCGTTATTCCCTTTCCACATCTATCACAGCACATTCTAAATTGTGGCTGATCTTTTATGCAAATAGCTGTCTTATTAGACATCGGGCTGCATGTGCCAATGTCTCCATGGGTTTCTCGGGCGTTTGCTATCTAACCATCAAAGCAGTGGAAATGAATGATGATTACTGCATCCCTTTGAAGAACAAAGAGTTGAGGTTCTAAATGTGGGAGTCGGTGACACTGATCCATGGAGACAAATGCGAGTATCTCTGTGGCTCATATTAAATCATAAAGAAATAAGTCATTAAGAAATAATTTTTGCCTGTGTTTTCTTCTTGTGTTTTATTGGCATTGCTAAAACTGCAAACATCTTTCACAGCTGATGTTTTGTTACAAAACATTAGTAACTATTGAAATTGCAAAAGGCAAGTCAAAACAGTCTCTAACAGTGGTGTAAAAAGACCAAGAACTAGTTTTGCAGTGTAAAAATGTATCTGTTGTCTCCTCAATTAGCTGAAAGTTCAAATAGTTCTTTTATTAATTATTATGATGTGAACGTTATGTGCAAAATGCAGCTCAGTCTAGAGAATTTCTGGGAAGTGTAATAGAAAGAAAAAAAACCCCAACCCAGTGGATTACAGTTCACCGCTTATGTGTTTTACATAAAACAGGGAGTATTCTCTGAATTCGACGAAAGTAATGTATGGAAACATTAGAACACTATAATTGAATTTTCAGTTCAGAATAAAAAATAGTAGCAGTCTTCTGTACCTTGCTATTAGTCCTGAATGCATTTAAAAAAGGTTGCTGACTTTGGAGCATCTAAGTTAATTCTATGCCCTGTGTCCCACATGTGAAATTAAGGAGCCTGGATTTGTTGCTTTTCATTAAATTCTAATAGTTACTATAGAATAGATAAATACAAAATAATAAACTTTGTGGTTTTAAAATGCACAAATAACTGGGCGAATCATTTCTGCAGCTATATTTTAAACCTTTTTTGAAGCTATGAAGGAAATAACGATGAATGTTTAAGCTTGGGATGCTGACAGTAGCCTATTCAGCAGTGCTGTGGCATGCTTTTTGGTTCATGATTTGGCATCTCAATGCCTTCAAGGGCTGCACTTCCCAGACAGCGTGCCTTGGCAGAGACTAGGGAAGCTTGTCTTGCTGTAACACGGCTGGTTATGCCTAACAGAAAAGTACAACTCTTGCAGATACTCAAAGGCCATATGTGCACAATCTGCAGATGGTTTATGGCTGAATCCAGGGTGATTCAGCCAAAGTTTGCCCTTCGCATTGTGCTCGCCAAGGCTGGTTGGGAAAAGGCAGGGGTTGGCTGCTGTGCGTCTTTAGTGCTTGAACCACAAATCTGACACTTTTGGAAGATGTCAGTCCTCTCGTGAGTGCAGGCGCTGATGCTGGGACTTTTGTGTCATAGAGGCAGTCAGATGGTGGGGCTTATCATCACTGTGGTGCGTAATGTCTTCAGCCCAGTCAAACTGGTTCAGTCTCAGTGTTTTGAGCAATAAGCCAGTTATTCCTTAATTAGGGAAAAAGAGGTGAAATTAGCGTGTTTGTAGGATCTTTCTGTATCGTTTGAGTGGCAACCTTGTGAGGGGATGAATACAAGACCATAAGGTTTTGCATGTTATAAGGTACATTGGAAATTGGGTAGAACACTATTCCGATGATGCTTTTTCAGATACATGGGTGGTGTGGGAGCACCAGTGTACCAAAAAGAGCATCTTTGGATGGATCAGAGTGCACTTCTCTGTGCAATCCTAGTGTCACCTGCTTGCACTGTGCAATACATGAGAAGCCCATTCAGGAGCTGGGATGGTTGTTATGTAAATGCACTGAAGATGATTTAAACTATCAATACCATGGCTGAGAGGTGTAAAATGGACACAGACCCAGCTCTCAGTTTTTGTTCTCCACTTTCTTTTGATTCACAGATATCTAGACCCCATGGCAGGAAGGTAGGAGAGTGTGGGGTTGCTGTGTTTTAGGTATCTGTTCCCCCCTTTTGCTCAAGGTGGCTGGAGGGATGTGTCTGCAGGTGGGTTTCCCGAGCAATTACATCTGTGGGTGCACACATGCCTAGTCCTGCCTCTGACTCCTGTGTGTAGTGCCAATATGTTTGCCAATAATGGAAACAGCTCTCAATACTGCATTCACTCCCTGGTTTACTAAAGAAACAAATTATATAGGAATGTAATTCAGTGGTACCAAATGCAGAATTACAGTGCAATCAGTTTAAATCCTTTCTTTTTTCTTTATTTTTATACAAACTAACAGGCATTATGTAATGTTAATAACCCATGCAATGGAGAAAAAGGTATGTTTAGAATGTATCTAATAGTCTTCAGAATAGTGATGATTAACTCCAATGTCTCATTGTACTCTGGGAAGGCTTATGTCTTTGTGTATAATCAAGTAAATGTTGCTTGTTACCATTTTTTCTGATATTATAAGTAATAGATTTTCTTAGTAATTTATTTAGGAATAATGTTGTGCTTTTGTGGTTTTTTGTTGTTGTTTTTTCTAATGCAGTGATTTTTTGGATTGAAAACAATGGGTAGAAAAGATGCCTCTACATCAAGGACTCCTGTTGACCAGTACAGGAAACAGATAGGTAAGAGTTCAAAAGAAAAGTTTGTCTGCTTTAAAAAAACCTTTTTTTTTTCCAGTCAGACCAGCTACTTTAACAAAATGTATTACTCCTCTTCAGAAACTTAATTTTGCAAATGCTGTTGACTAATTCATTCAGTAAAACCTTTTATGAAGGCAGTGTTTTGAGTAACTTGATCAAGTTCATGCTCTGTGTTTGGAAATACTAGTGAAATACTGCAGTGAAGTGACTTCACAATGTTTCTGAACTGTAGGAACTTTCCTTATTTTCCTGATTGTCTCTAATTTCAGATATGGGCATTTGTAACAAAATGCTCTTCCTTATTCATAACAATTTTTGAAACACTGAATGACACAGACCTTTACATTGTATAACTGCATTTATTCTCACATTAATGGAATACTTTAAACATGTTAATAATTTCTTTCTGTAGGTCTTTTTCTGTCCTTACCTGTTGCATATGTAGGTAACATGTATACAGAGTACGCACATGCGCACATGTACACTCATATAGATGCTTACACAGCAGGCTCAAATCCCTATTTCTTTGCTTAAATGCAAAGGTGACTTATTTTTGAAATCCATACATGAGGATTCTGTCTCTACGTGTTAAATAATATTATAAAGCAGTCACCGTATTTAAAAAGTATATATATAAAATGAAGTGCCTTAGTCTATACTCAGTTATTTAAGTAAATTACTTTGTTTTACAGTTGCTAAGCACCCACATCTGTGTTTAAATATGCAGAAAATAGCAAGTGTCGGGGAAAAAAAAGTTGTTTACAATGTACATTCTTATGGTGAATGAGCTAGGGTTATGTGAATAATTTTATTTTTATCATGTCTCAATTTTTTTAGTGCTGCCTCATTATTTTAATATAACTGTTTTAGTGGTCTTTTCAACTTCCCATGAAGTTGAAAGTAAGGGATTATTTTGTATTTTATTTGGTTTAGATAGCTGTGAAATGGTCTATGTTTCTTAATCTTGGGCAGTTTGTGTGGCTGACTTCTTGGCTTATTCTCTGAGATAATTAGATACATGGCTGAAAGCTTCTGAGTGCAGATAAAATGGAAAAATGTTTCAATAGATGAGCTCTCTGCTTTTGTGTGATTTAGATTTTTGTAGAAAACCTTGCAAGGAAACTGTTACCCAGTAGATGACACCACAAGTGTTTCACCCAAATGGGTTTGGTGAGAAATGGGAGCCCTGCAGTCGTCTTTGGGACAACTTGTCCTGTGTAACTTGGTCATTTAAAAGAGGATGATTGTATCAGCTCTCTGGCATTTTCTCCATGTCTGTTTCATCACAGTCACTTCTTTTTCAACCATCTCCTTTAGGGTTGCTTTTTTTTTTTCTTGTGAATGCTTTCAGGTGACCGTGGTTAGAGTTGTTCATTGAAGTCCTCTGTAGGGTGGAAGAGTCTGGTGATCAGTGGGATCACTGGAGAGACCCGGAGGATGTAAAGCTGCATCTGAGACTCAAATAATTACCTCCTGCTCTTCCACAATGCAGTCTGTTTCTTGCGAATTGCTACCATGTGGCACAGTGGTTGGACATGTCACACCTGTGAGATGCCAGGACTGATCAGATGTGCCTTGAGCAGGGGAGAGAACACTGTGCTTTAGCAAGGGGCTAAGAGTATTTGTATTAGGGCCAAGCACTCAGGGAGACCCTGTTATGTTGCTGACTCAACAGTTTTGGCCTGGCATGTTGTCTGAACAATTTGGCACCTTCCCTGTTATACAATGCAGCATCGTGATCCATTGGGTACTGCAAAATACAGTGGGGGCTCATAATAAGCCAGTTTTGTTTAGATGCGACACATTGCTCTTAACATGGCAAAAGCAAGTGTTAAAAATTATCAAGGGGAAGAATCTCATGCTGACAGGCAAATAAACTACATAACTTAGTAGGTGTTTCTGTGATTGTAGTATACCATAGAGGACAGAGAGCAAGAACTAAAATAGACTGTGCTCTGCCTGTGCTCTGCTGATGGTTGTTTCAGCTCCCATTCTGGTCATTCACTGATATAGCTACAGAGTTTGCCAATGGAAATTATTTCTCTGAACTTAATGAATGTGAGAGGGAGAGTTTGAAAATTTATGGATACTGTTTTATAGTTTAATGTTGCAGGTGTGTGAGTTTTATGTAAGCATTTTGGGCTAGCTTTAGGCTTGGTAACTGAGCTTGATGGAGTGATCCCTCTAGTCTCATTATGCCTTTAAGTGTATTATAGGACAAATAGGTGTACTATTGACAAATATGGTCCAATATTACCCTGACAAAGATGGAAATATTTCAGGTTTTTTGCCATTACTTCTTGGTTTTTTGTTCTTATATAGTTTTGCGTAACTGGAAATAATTCATCCATTTATCACAAGGTTGGTGAGGACCAAAGGAGATCATTTCATCCAACCACCCTGCTCAAGCAGAGACACAGAGAGCTGATTGTCCAGAACAGAGTTCAGATGACTCTCAAGTATCTCCAAAGATGGGAACTCCACAACCTCTCTTCCTATGTTTAACCATCCTCAGAGTAAAAGGGTTTTTTTTAATGTGTTTCTGTTTGTGCCCATTGCCTCTAGTCCTGTGACAGGGCACCACTGAGAAGAGTCTGGCTCTGTCCTCCCTTCAGGTATTTATATACATTGATGAGGTCCCCCTTGAGCCTAGTCATCTCCTGGGTAAACAGCCCCAGATCTCACAGCCTTTTCTCATAGGAAAGATGCTCTAGATTCTTCATTTTAACTCCTCTTGATTCTTCTCGATCTGATTTTATTCCAATACTTATTAAAACTTATACAGAAAGAATTTAATTTCTTTCTTAAAATATGTTCATCCAATAAACTCTAGATTTGACAGCTTAGGTACTTTCAGGTACTTTTATAGGGATGCTTCAGAGTGAGGCTGTTCAACAGATGACTCCTCAGAATAAAGAATGTCCTAATGCTCCAGACTCATTTGTTTTGGAGATGGACATTTGATCACCCTTTTTGAGATAGGTTATATCTAGAAACAGTGAGCAAAATGAGGCTGCACAGGGCCTGCCTTTAAAAAAATTAACTTATCAAATGCTTTTAAAGTTCAAAATGTATGCTTGGAGTGATTGCTATCCTTCCTTTCCAGGCATTTGGTATCTATGGATTATTGAAAATATTATGATAGATGCTAGCTGAACAGCTATCTCTTGCTGACTAATGGTGTGATGTTATTTTTTAGCTCACTATTTAATGTTTTCTAGCCTTGCTGGATAGAAGGTAACCAGATTGAAACATTTTTCATACCTTTTTTTTTTTGATGGAAAATGGCAGCATTCAAGGAACAACATGTCACGAAGTCGTATCAACTTCAACACAATTTTCAGTTAGATGTTTAGTGGAGTAATTTGAAATAAAAGCAGATTTTTAATTTCATTTTGTTCCAAGCTTTCTGTTTTGTTGTGAGTTTCCATACGGCATGCCACATGTTTGCTCTGTGCCACAGTTCAAGTTCATGTTGATCACTTCAGTTCAACCGTTTGCCTTTTCCTCTTCTCCATGAGAGGAGAGGTGTCTTGTTTGCCACTGTGCCGCTAGCAGTTGTTGTTTGCTTCAGTAGCATTTTCAGAGGATTCCCTCAGCACAGAGATTGATACTGCTCTTCTCTGTCAGCTGGCTTTCAGCCATCTCTCCTGCCACCAGCCAAAATTTGTCTGTAGTGCCACTTAAGCAAGTGCTCTGGGTATCTGACAGTGGCATTGCCTGTTCAGTGGGGAGCAGAGGCAGTTTTGGAGTTACCAGACCAAACTGGCACTGGCTTTGTGATGCCTGTCCCCAAATGGGACAGGAAACAACAGCAGCAACCTTCTCAAACTGGCTTAGGCTGTGCGTGGAGGAGGGAGGATGGCACTGAGGGAGTCTCTCCCCATTCAGATCTCCGTAACAGCCAAGGCTGTGAAAGAAGCATGAGCAAAAGTAATTTTAACACTTTTTATTTATCTCTCACTCACATACCCAAACATACACCTGCAGTGCAGCAGCAAGCAGGGCAGCTCCTCTGCAGAGCGTTTCCTTCTCCCTGCTGCTGTTTGTGCTGCTGTGCTTAATTTGCTGGAATCTGTGGAAAGGTGTGAGGCAGTATACATCCTTCTGCATTTATGCAGCTTTGCTCCACAAATGCTGTGAAAATAGCAACAGGTTTTATACCATATTTGCTTTGTTTACTGTTATGTGTGCTTTAAGTTCCCAGAACAATTCCACATGTATATTTTCCATCCTTCTTCATCTGGTGTGTCGTTTGCTCGGCATGGAAGCTGCAGGATTTGTGGGTAGTGTTCATGACTCGTGTGATTGTGGGATCCTAAGCAGGCATACTGAGAGGATTATAGCATAACTAAAACCTGGTCTACAAACCAGGAATAGACATACTTTTGGCTCCCATTACTATTGTGTTGCTGTAGCATAATTTTTCATGAGGAAGGGTTGTTTGCCAATCATTCAACCTTCAATTTGTAGACTCAAAGGTCTGCCTATTGTCTGCTCTGTATCTCCTGACTTGCCAGCTTGATCCTTTAGGAACTGGTGCTTATATAGGCATAAGCCAGGGGTTCTCTGGAGTAAACTAAGCTCCTCACATCCCCTGGAAAGGAGTAAAAATTATGAATGAAAATACATTCTCTTTTTGTTTTGAAAGCACAGGGTGGTAGGCTGAGCATGATGACTCGGTGATGGAAGTGGTACTCATTGGCATCACATATGCAGAGCAGTGGACTGGTAAAAGGGACTGGGTGGGAGTACTGAGACGCTGGCTGTATCAGCTCAGGAGGGGAGAGAGAACTGCCCACCTGAACTAACAGATAAAACTCTGTAGGTAAAGTCAGCCCTTTCTTAAAACTCCTTGGTGTGGAGACTGGTGACTTTTCCAGAAGAAAGACACCTCTTCCTAGTGCCAAGGTTTATAGTCTCACTGTAGCCCTGATGAGATAGAGAAGAGCTTGGAGGCTAGTGGCAGCAAAAGCATCCCT